GGTGCATTCTACATAGTCTCCCTGAACACAAGACCAAGTTGCGACAACGAGGTCAACCCACTTCTAAACAAAAGAGGTTATCTGAAGACTTAATAGCCTGCAAAGGTCTGTGCATCCCAAAATAGGAATTGGCCGAACGCATGTTTCGCACAGGACACCAGATACATTGGTCTAAGCCAAACGCTTGGCTGATTATAAGGACTATACCAAACAGTAAGCAAAAATTAAAGAGGCGATATAACTGAACAAAACAACCAACATGCTGAATAGAAGGCCACTCTATCTTGGTCTTCATATCTACGATCTAATTACAGTCGTATTATTGTTGTCTTCTTTTTTTTTAATTGATTTTATTTATAAATAGATTAATTCGGATTGCCGTTATTCACCTATTTTTGATGAATTAACAGTACTCACCTAAAAATGTAATTATTCATATCGGTTTTGCTAGCGCTAATTTATTTGCTACTTACGACCCGAAATACCTGTTATACAGCCAGATGCTCCTCCTCAAGCACCGTTCATGAAGCTTCCGGTCTTGTTGCCAGCCGTTCATTGCAGATACAATCCCCTACTCCTGAAGATTCCAATGAACAATATTTCCTTAATACTTCCCAAACACACCTGCCGGATGTATCAAATACTGTGCAGTTACCCCCAGAAGTGGAGGTAACTCTGATGAATGACGGGCGTTTGGTAGATACTGGAACCGACAACACGGTCATCTTCAGGACGGGCCTTAGGCAGGATGAAGGGCGGGGTTCGCTTGAAAACATTCCTGTATCTGGTCTTTTTTCCAACGGCACTACAATGGGGCCATTGCGTAAGTTGACTTTTTAAATGTATATGCTCGTTGAGCAAATTTCCGACCGGCTTTTTTAACCGCGTAACATCTATGCAAAACTTATGATGCTTAAACAAGCAAAAAAGCACAAAATTCTTTTTAAAGTATTGCCTTTACTAGGCGAATTGTGATAGGATATAAGTGCTAATACAATGGTTGGAATCCTAAAGTAGCCCTATATTGTTATAAAACGGAATTAATATGCAAATCTGGCCCCCAATTAAGCGAGATTGACAATGGTAAACTGATAGAAGAAATTCCAAATCAGACATTTGAATTGATACTTTCATCGACTTAAGACTTACGATGAGCTGAAAATTTAAGCTTGATTCATTTTTAGACGGAATTTCTTACAAACATCAAAATTTGCTCGCTATGTATACATCCGGAGTCGGTTAATCAGATGAATCTTAGATTGGATACTGGTATCAGGTTCGCCTCCTCGAACCAGTTTATGGGAGACATGTATCGATATCAACTATTAGTCACGTTTAAGCTTGCTCGTCTGTTTTTTTTGATAGGATCTAACCTACCTGAATGTAAACTAAAAATCTATTCTATCCTACTTTATTTATGCTATTCCGAAATTCAAGTTAGCGAGTCAGTTTCGGTTCTTCGCCAG